TACAAAAAGCTGGCTTCCACTTGCAAAGGGTATGAATTTAAAAATGTTGAGGATTTCAACACTTGTTTTCTCTAGGAAAGTCGTTCTGGTTTGGTTTTTTTTAAAAATAACTGACCCACTTTAATCTCCTGTGTCACCTGCATAAAGAAAATGTAACAGCACCAGCCCATTGCAGGATCAGGATCTGCAAGTGGGAAAACACCAACCAGTATGAATTATCAAATACTGAGTGTTTACAAAACACTCTGAATGCAACTGTTTATATTTACTGAAAAGGAGTTTCCAAAACTCTGGGTCTCATCCAGCACATCCCTACTAATGCAGGTCAAGTAATTTGCCTGCATAACAAGACCAAAATGAATAAATACAAAATATATTTGGTATAGAAAATAGTAGTATAAAAATTAAAAACCACCCTGTTTTACTGTCCATCAAAATATTAACAGCAAGCATTACAAGTGACTTTTTTAACCTATTGCCAAAATAATTTCCTAGGAGTTCTGCTTTCCTGAAGTGCTGGTGATTGCAATTGCCCAAGTATTGATAAAAATGAACAGGGAAGGGAGGAGGAAATGTATGATAGATTTCTCACATAGTATTATCAACAGAGGGCCTAACTGAAGGAAACTAAATTATGCACAAACATGGGGAAAAAAGCCATTGCCAGTTCTGTTGCAGCCATCAGAGCTCTTCCTGATCTTCAGAGCGTTTGCAGAGAAGGTACTTCCTCACTCTAGCCCTGACAGACAGGCGATGGCATGGGGATGAGCATACTCAGAGCACTGCTGCTTTTCGGTTTCTCTGGTGTAGCAATTCTGCTGAGTTTGCCAACCTCTGTCTGCCAGCTGGGGACCTTCTTCGTGGTCATGTGGCGGCGGGTGTGCTTTGTCAAGTGATCACTGCGCATGAAGCGACGCTCACACACGGGACAAGCAAACTTCTTCTCTCCCGTGTGAGTTCTGCGGTGGCGTGACAGTTCATCTGAGCGGGCAAACTTCTTGTCACAGCCTTCCCAGTTGCAGCTGAAAGGTTTTTCTCCTGCAGGACATGAAGCATAAGTTACTTTTGAGAAGCTGTGTTGCAGTTTTATCAAAGAATTAACTTAAAACCTGCCTCGCAAGAACTGATAAATTCTGCAGAACTGCGCATCTGTGCAGTCAACATTAGCTTAACCTCAAGTTCTGTTCTAGGGAAAAATCATAGGTACTGTTTCTTCTTATTCCCTCATATCTTTTTAAATGTTCTTTAATCTAGTCTGGTTTTTTAATTATCCAAAACCCCAGTTTAAAGAAAAAGATTCTTCGTAGAGCTATGTTACCCACTGACTGAACTAGAAACAACCCTCTGCCCTGTCCCTGTGCATCCCACAGCTCTATGGCTGCAGCATGTGCTCAGCAAATACTGCAGGCAAACAGGAAGTCTGGAATGGAGCCTGAGTCCTGCTGCTCCTGTGACCCAGTCCTACACATAAACACACTGCCCCAGTGCCCACTCCCAAGGCACACAGCTGTCCTGCCATCACCACACAGCTGGAGTGTCACATCATCACACACAGACAGTGGGGGGCACTGGCAGCACTCAGCCAGGCTGCCCACGCCAGCTGCTGCTCATCCTGGGACACTGCTTAACCTATCCTGAACAATGCCATCTGCACCTGCAACTCTATCCATAAAGCTCCACATAAACATCTACCACGTGGCCTAAATTTATGGAGACACTTTGGAGCAGAATAAAAGCAGCCAGGAGAAAGGAAGCCCCACAGGAGTGCTGTTTTTATTTCACATATTGAGTCAAGCTCTGTGTTTGGTGTATGTGGTATCATCTAGATACTCAGTGCATAGGGAAAAGAAAGCTGAACGACTCTTCCTCCTGATCCTGTAATGTGAACTGGCTGGTTAGGGGTCAGTGTGTTTCACCCTCCACCGATATCCTAGTCTTAATCACGATACAAGGACACGCATGGTTTCCCTATGGATCAGCAGCAGCACAGGCTCAAAGTAAGATGCTGCTAGTCTATGTTTATCCTGTAGTGCCAGGTTAATTCAGCAGCCTCTCAAGCCAGAAGCAGAAGCACCATTCTACATCTGAGCTATGGTTTACAAGGATTATCAGCTTCATGAAGAGGTTAAGCTCTTTCTCCAAAAGAACCACAAAGACAAACTGGCAAACTAATGTAAATCCCGTCACGGAAGCTGACATCCAATACACCAGTGTCTGTGGGACAATGGCAGCTGGGGGGAAAAAAGCCAAGGTAAACCAAAATTAAGACAGAACTATTCTGTACCAATCTATCACTATGCCTCTCCTTCAACATCAAAAATAATCCCTGAGAACATAAAGTTAGTTTTAATTTAACAGGATCCTGGAGCCAGAAAAAGGGCAAGTGAAACACATATAATGTCTCCACGCTGACCAGATTTTATGGAGCAAATCAGCTCATATTAGTTAAAATTAATTTTCATTTACCTTTAAATTCCCCTTCTGTAACTGAATAAACCGTTACATTCCTGTAGCAGCTCCACTTCCTAATACAGTAGCCCAAAACCTCAATGTGTTCCCATTTATCCTCAACAAAACTCTGTAAAGGAAGGGCAGTTTCTGACCTTCCCCCTATTCTTTTACTCACCTAACAATGAAAACCAACTACCTGGAGTATGCTTTGCTTACATCAGACCTCTCCATACCCTAAAACAAGGAACAGTCACAACTCATTTCAATCTAGTCCAGATGGCAGGGCTCCACTCAGACCTAAACACACACAGACAGCAAAACTTCACTCCAACTAAAGCATGTGAAATTCAACTAACACTATGGGGTCAGCTGAGGTCTCAGAACAAAGTCTGTCTTGTTTGGTTTGCCCATGGAGAATGAGCATGTCTTCCTTCCTCGAGATGAGCACAAGTTTCCTGATCACTTGCCTTTTCCCTTTCCCACCCCTCTCCCCCCACCAAACGTGCATTTCAGCACCCCAAAACAAGCCAGTGCCAGAGCACTCTCGTACACACCAGTGTGGGTGCGAAGGTGGGCTTTGAGGTGGGAACTTTTGAAATAGGTTTTCTTGCATCCGGAGAAGTTGCAAACATAATTCCTCCGTCTAGAGAAGTCCATCTGGGGGGCACAGGTTTGACCAGAAGCGATGAAGACAGGAGCAGGGGCAAGGGGCAGTAACTTGGTGCTCCCGACAGCCATTACAGCCTGTGGGCACTGCGGTGCCTGTGTGACAGCAGGCTGGGGGAGAACCAGCATGACAGTCCCCTGAGGCACAGAAGGTCCCATGAGCACAGGCTGAGAGAGTGGGGCTGTCTGCGGTAAAATGGGTTTCATGGGAGTTGAGACTGCTGGAGTTGAAGGCTTGACATAGGCATTGATCATACTGCTTTGTCCATTGAAAGGGATCATTTGACAGAGAACCTGGGGGCTTGAAACAGGCGCAGGTGTCACTGGGGTAGCTCTTTTTTGCAAGTCATTCTCACAATTCTTTGGTAAGCGGGACTGTGGCGAAACAGGCCGGACTGGCAGTTGCCCTTGATTGGTCACAATATCACCAGAGTCACGTGCGTAAGGCTGATGTACTGGAGGGGTTTTGTTAACAAAATCATCTGCAGCACACGTGTCCTGCGGCAGTCTGGAATGTCTTCGGTCATCCACCCCACACAAGTCTCTGGAAGTGCTGTAGCCTGAAGTTACCTTTGCTTTGTCTTGCACATCAGGAATGTGAGGGTAAGCAGAACTATCACCTGTGTGACGTATGACACTTGTTGCCATGGCCCTGCAAGGCTGAGGGGCAGAGGATACAGAGATCGCTGGCTTCTGACTGCGCTGTTGCTCCATGTTGAGAACAGATGGCTTGGTTATGGGAGAGGCACTGGTTGCTGATGTGACAGAGCAGGCAGCAGTACTTGCCATGACAGTCCTTGGTTTGGAATAAGTGACTTGTGAGGAGAGGAGCGTAGCTGCTGATATCTCAGCAAAGTCAGGGCTGTGCGGAGGGGTCATGCACTGCAAAAAAGAAAACACCACTGTACATCAGTGTAATTCCATGGCACAGTTTTCCACTATATATACTGTGAAAAAAAACCCTACACCCTCTCCCCAGAATCTCAGAATATGCCTCTTAGCACAAACGGATTAAAGCATACTGCTGTGGCTTAATCCCAGATGGCAACCATGCAGCCACTCGCTCACTCATCCCCCACCCGCTGTGGGATGGGGAGGAGAACCAGGAAGAGGAAAACCCATGGGGCAAGATAAGAGTAAGTTAATAACACAAATAAAGTAAAATATAATAATAAAACCAGTAACTGTAATGAAAAGAGAGAGAACAAAAAGAGAGAAATAAAACCCAAAAGAAACAAGCAATGCGCAGTACAATTGCTCACCACCCGCCCAGCCTGGCACCCAGCAGCAATTGGCCCCTCCCAGCCAACTGCCCCCAGTTTATACACTGGGCATGGCACTCTATGGAATGGAATACCTTTTTGGCCAGTTCAGTCAGTTGTGTCCTGACCCTGCTCCCTCCCAGCTCCTGATGCATCTCCTCATTGGCACAGCATGGGAAACTGACAAGTCCTTGACTTAGGGCACTGCTTAGCAACAACTGAAACACCAGTGTACCATCACCTATTCTCATCCTAAATACTAAACACAGCACTACTAGGAAGAAAATTAACTCTATCCTAGCTGAAAACAGGACAATATCCACCCCTTTTTCTATGCCATTCACACCTTTCAATGCATCCCAAGTAACCACCATCACTTTTCTTGTCTTTTGATATACACTCACAGATATCATTCCCTTAATCTATGGGCCATCCCTCTACACATCCCTAACACATCTGTTGAGTTCATTTATCCATGACTTTGGGCTCCATCTGTCATAGTACTCCTTCAGGGCAGGAGAGATGGTGTGTGGTGTTGGATTTTGCCTACTGAAGTCATTTCTGATTCCACCCACATTGTACTTGCCCAGTTTCACCAAAGTTCATTCTTCATTAATGGGGGTGATTCTTACCCTTGATGTTGCATATAAGCCCCACAGCAGTGATGACATACAGTGTTATACAGAAACCAACATCATACAATCCAAATCATTGACTGTTCTCACCCAGAGTCAGATCACCTTGAAGCACACACTGGACTTCCCCTTCCACCCACATTATCCACCAAGTGCACCCAGGTCCTCGAACAAAAGCAATCCCATGGATGGGTTTGCCCTTGCATGAGGCAGGAATAACCCACTCTTTTCCCCAGCGTATTTTTATGTGCCTAGAGGAACTTTATCCCCTTCTACACTACCTAAGTTTTGATTAGGCAAGGCCAGCTCCATTGGCAGATCCTCTAGTGCTGACTAACCAGGTCTTTGCTAAATGTGTATCCCAATGTCTGAAGGTCCCACTTATTGCCCTCAGTAACAGCGTGTTTTATCTTTCAATTTTCCCAGAGACTGGCACAGGATAGAGGATGTGATATACCCACTCAATGCCATGTTCTTTGGCCCAAGTATCTATCAGGTAGTTTAAGAAATGAGTTCTGTTGTCCGGCTCAATTCTTTCTGGGGTACCACGTTGCTGTCTTGCATTTTAAGGCTCAGGATAGCATTCCAGGCGGTGGCATGGGGCACAGCATGTTTCCAGTCATCTGGTGGTTGCTTCTACCATCATAAGCACAGAGTGCTTGCCTTGGCAGGTTTGTGGGAGTGTGATACAGTCAATCTTTCAGGCCTCTCCATGTTTATATTTCAGCCATGATCATTCACACCAAAGAGGCTTTACCTGCTTGGCTTGCTTAACTGCAGTGCATGTTTCACATCCATGAATAACCCATGCAATAGTGTTCATGGCCAAGTCCACCCTCGATCATGAGCCCACCTACATGTTACATTTCTTCCTTGATGGCTGAGGTGTCATGAGCCCACCAAGCTATAAATTCACTCATGTTGCCAATCCAGATGTACCTGAGACACTTCAGTCACAGCAGCCTGATCCACCTGTTGGTTGATGTTCTTCAGTGGCCCAACTCTTGAGCACGTGAGCATCTACATGACGTACCTTCACAACCATGTTCTCCACCCAGGCAGGAGTAACTTGCCACAATGCAGCAGCCCAGATGGACTTACCTCTGTGGTGCCAGCTGCTCTGCTTCCATCACTGCAACCAGCACCATAGGGCATTTGCCACTATCCAAAAATCAGTATAGAGATACAAGTACTGGCCAGTCTTCTCATTCAGAAATGTCTAAAGCCAGTTTTCACATCTGCAAACTGACTTGAGTCACCTTTTCTTTCGGCAATTTCCATAGCTTGTCATAGGAGACTCCATACAGCTGCTTTCCACCTCTGATGTTTTACTACAATATAGCAGGACCCATGAGTACACAATGCATACCGTTCCTCATTTTTGGTAATTTATTGTACAATGGGACCTCTTCAGCATGTGTCACCTCCTCCTCAGGTGATGTCCTGGAATCTCTGCCTTCTGGCCAGTCCATGATCACTTCCAAGCTTCCTGGATGACTGAGGTTTCCTATTTGAGCTCGCTATGTGATCAGTAAGACTCACTTATTCCATCTACATAGCATCAGCTGCATGATATGTAGGAGACCCACCCTTTGAACACCCAGCCCAGCACAGGTGACCGTGGTGCCAGGAGGGGCTGTCCTTCAGTGCCAATCATTTCTGAAGTACCTCAAACCCCTTCATAAGCTCCCAATATCTCCTTTTTTGGTTGGGAGTATGGCAGCTTCAGATCCTCTGTATCCCTGATGCCAAAGCCCAAGAGGCCAACCTGAATCTTCTTTGGTGCTTTCTGCCAGAGGTTCCAGGTAGGGCCATTCTCTCTGTCTACAGTGTAGAGTCCATTTTTCACATCTTGTCCTGCATGGATTGGCCCAAGGGCTGGGACAGAGTTAATTTTCTGCCTGAGTTACCCCCTGTTTAATTTGTTAAAAGGCTTGTCGTTGCTCAGGGCCCCATCTGAAATCATTCTTCGGGTCACTTGACGGAGAGGGCTGGCAATCAGATGGTAATTTGGCATGTGCGTTCTCCAAAAGCCCAGGGCGCCTAAGAAAGCTTGTGCTTCTGTCTTATTAGTCGGGAGACACAGCTATTATTTTGCTGATCACATTCACTGGGATCTGATGACATCCATCTTGCTATTTTACTTCTAAAAACTGGATCTCCTGTGCAGGTCCCTTGACCTTACTTTGTTTTCTGGCAAAGCCAGCTTTCATAAGGATTTAGACTACTTTCTTCCCTCTCTCAAGAACTTCTGCTGCTGTATTATCCCACACAATATCATCGCTGTATTGCAGGTATTCCAGAGCTTCACCCTGTTCCAGTGCAGTCTGGATCAGTCCACGGCAAATGGTTCGAATTTCTGCCACATGGGTTATTTACACTGGACTTCATCTGGATGCGTGGGTGACTGTGTCTTATTCATGTCATAATAAATCACCTCCAGCATGGCTACCTCCCTCAGGTACTACAACTCTCTTTTCACAGTGGCCCACCTGCCCAGGTGACATGTAACATCTTTCTTGAGGGGATAACTTCCCTTCATGCTTGACAGGAGTCATCTTCAGAGGCTGAGGACTTCTGCTCCTTTTCCAATCACCATGTCAATGCCCCCTTCCCTAGGAAGTCATGCCAGCTACTTGGCTTCCCTACCTTCTAGTTCCAGGCTATTAGCCCCATGGGAGCAGCCAAGTGATAATGTGCACACCTGGACGACTGCTGAAACCTTTTCATGTATGCCACGGCTTACCTGGGGACAGCAATCAAGCAATGGTTACCTCTTGTTCTGACTCTTCCCCCAGTTCTTGTGATGGCCATGCTTCATCCTCCTTTACTCAATGAGCTGACTTTCATGCCCATTTTTTTTGTGTACAGAGGCAACTAATATCAGCACAGGCTCATCCTCTGGTTCAGCTGCATCACCCATCATCAGAATCTGAGTAGCCACAGTACTTGCCATCACCGTCTGAGTAACCACAAAAGTTGCTTAACCCTACACAAGACCTGAACCACATTCACAGCTCCTAGCAGTAGGACCATGCTGGTTTCAACATCCCAAGGATATTCAACATTTTCAAAATTCTCGAATACAATTGTAATTAGCCTGGAGGAGAAGGGGAAGATGGGGGAAGATATGTTCTCCACAGGTTGGCTCTCTGAGGAGAAAAGGTAAAAGGTGTGATTATTAGCAGTTTCTAACAGATGGTTCCTGAAGGACGACAATGCCGAGTATAAAAACCACATTAGTTTCACAACCAGCAATTCTATCCTATCACAACCCAGTGTTACAAAGTACAATAATATGATAACCTCAGCCCAGGCCCCACAACGGGGAACATACACAGCAAGTAAGATGTTACATAACACAACTCTCGAGTGCAGATAATTCAACACTGTGATCAGTGACTATTAAACTACTAAAATGAAGGCTTAGAACAAATTTGTTTCAACATCCTCTGGTCAGACCTGTTGCGGAGGAGAATCAGAAAGATAAAACCCATGGGTTGAGATAAGAACAAGTTAATAATTCAAATAAGGTAAAATATAATAATAACAATAATTGTAATGAAAAGGAAGATTAAAAAAAGGAGAGGAATAAAACCCAAGAGAAACAAACAATGCACATTACAATTACTTACCACCCATTGACTGATGCCCAGCACAGCCACTGGTCCCCCCAGTTTTTATGCTGGGCATGATGCTCTATGATACGGAATATCCTTTTGGTCAGTTTCGATCACTTGTCCTGGCCATGCTCTCTCCCAGCTTCTTGTGCACCTCCTCACAGGCAGAGCATGGGAAACTGAAAAGTTTCTGACTTTGGTCAAGCACTGCTCACCAATAACTAAAACATCAGTGTGTTATCAATGTTAATTCTCATCCTAAATCCCAAACACAGCACTGCACCACCTACTAGGAAGAAAATTAACTCTATCCCAATAAAACCAGGACGCATCTCACGGCCATTCTGAATATGCTCAAATGGTAAGGAGACAGCTGTAAACCTGCAAGTCTACTCACCACACCACAAAAAACTCTCTCATTCCTATTTTCATCAGCAGAAAATAGAGTAGCAATTGCTCCCAGCAAGTCCTAGATCTTTTCTCAATGATTACCACATCAGCTCACGGCTACTTCTCACATAAAGACAAGTGAAACTGATCTCTCCCTTCTTATTCATCCATTTCTCTCTCTGCTTTCTTCCTATACCACCTCTCCTTCCTCCTTTACCACTGCAAACTATCTTCTGTGCTGCTAAGACACAGTGCCAGCACTGAGCAGCAGGAGATAAGAGACGCCCGCCAAGCAGCTGCCATACTATCTCTGCCTCTTTCCTCTATTTTACCCTGCCACAACTGCACACTAGAAGTCTATTGGTTGAAATGGGCCTTAGCCATCCAAAACCTGAACAGTACCAAGCCCTTTTTTAATACCTACTTTTGTTGCAACATAAATTGCAACAAAAGAAAAAAAAATTTGGATTCAACTGACATTAGTCAGCCAGAGTAGACCAGTGTCTGGAGAAGTAACAGACTACACATGTACAAACACACAGCATAGAAACTAATTAAATTATCTATTTCATAATGGTAATCTGTACTTTCTCTTATAATGACCAGAGTGAAGCCAAATGTCATCAAGAGCCTTTTTTCATACAGTGCTTGCAGATATGTTGGTGCCAAGTCACTGACGTCCACTCTACCATTCTTACTCAGTGCTCCAAGAAACCTCCAATAGCCATCTCAACATCCCTGTCAAGTCAAATAAGCTGTCAGCAAGGGCCTTCACATGTAGATTTAACAGGGGACCAACCCCCTACATTTGACAAATCAGAGACAACAGAAAAAACCAAACTCCACATGCCCACCTTGCTACTCTGTGCACACCAACAGAGCTCAGGCTATGCTGCAGCTATGTGACACAGGGACACCTGAGCAGGCTTCTCTCTTCTAGACAAGTTAAAGCACTGCAGACATGTAACATCCAGGTGTTGGGCATATTTATTTTGCGATTGTGTTTTTCTTACCAGTGTCGATAGGTAGTCCTTTGGTAATTCAGACGCAGCCTCTGTGGGCATTGTGAAATCCCCAGAATCCGAGAAGGGTGTGAGTGGCCTTATCTTTAATATGTCACCTTTCTGCGATCTTTGACCCCAGGAGCTCATGCAAACAAGTGCTTCAACGGCTTCAATGTCGTTCTGCTCCAAGGTGCTGCAGGTAGACCTTTCACTGTCATGACGCTGCCTTTCACGGATAGACTCGTAGATGTCCACGATGTCAACCTGAATGTAATCGGATTACTGACTATTAGGGCAAGTCAGAATACAATGCTCACACCACCCACACACTGTCTGCTCACCATAAAGGTCATCGGAAACAGATCCCATGCCCACAGCAAGACTTTTACCCACCAGCTCAACTCTCACTCTCCCCCCACCAGCTCATCTCCACACTGATTTCTCTTTTAAAAAAATTTTAAATATTAAAGGAAGAACTGTGATTTTCAGGAAAGGTACAGCTATGTGAGTGGCTCACACTTCCAGAGTTACTTTCCTGGATTACACTGCTCTGAATAAATGCATCCCATGCTCGCATACAAGTAAAAAGAGGAAAATCCTGACTTACAACCTTGTTTGGACGAGGCTGTTTCCTGGACCCAAAAGACAAATGCTATTCAGCCCTAATCTCACTCTGGTAATATTTAGAAGATAAATTTCATCTGACAGTAAGATGCTTTAATGTATGACCACTGACTCGGAGTACCACACCTTGCAAAAGCATTTACATCTTATTTTTGCGAACAGGGAAGCCAGGCTAGAGGAAAGGATGGGAGCAAAAGCCTTCAAAGTGCAGTGGGAACTGTTTGTATTGTACTTTAGAAAGGCATGATACTACATAGGTGCTAGGTATTCAAAATGCACTGTAAGCAACATGAAGACAATCATATTGATTTATTTCCAACTGCAAGCATCACACCAAATGTGTGTGTGCATGTGTATGCATGCATGCAAAACACCTGACTTCTCTGTGAAAAGATATCCAAAACTTCATAAAGCTCTTGAAAAGCTACGCTACGCTGATGGTTTATCATTGACGTGCCAGCTCAGTCTCAACCTGGCGTCTAAACTCTTCCAGTCTTTAGCCACACCAACCAACTTGAAGACTGGGATTCAGAAGCATGGACCGAGACTCTTGAGCCTACTGCTGTTATACAGAATGCTTATACACTGCAGCCAAAGGGGTTTAACTCAAAAAGCACCAGCACACCATTAGCACGGCCAGGAGCCCCAGAGGGAACTCTAGTCATTGGGTGACAGTACTTAAACATCTAAGTCAAAGAGTTAAATAACATGGAATGATCCTGTTCAACAGTGTCACAAAGATGCAAAGCTGTGTGACACTGTCCCCACTATATCGATGTGCAGGCAAACATGCTGAACATATGGATTCAAAATGTTGATACTGCACTCATAGATGACTTTCATCTCAACATCAGGTACCAGGCATGGAGATGTCAAAAGTGGGGGCAAGAAAGGGAGGTAATTAACTGCTCAGCGAGAGATTTCTAAGAATTTCCACTGAAAAACAATGAGTGGGAACGAGGGCAAAACATGCTTGCACGCCTGGACCTTGAGGCCTGTCACGCCAGAGCCACAGCAGGCGAGGCTCTGCACTGAGCAGCCAGAGTGCCTGAGAGTGCTGCTCTCACTGTGACTGCAGGCAACCGAGCCAGCGGGTTTATTTTTTCCAACACTTGAGGAGAGCAGTTTTCCCTAAAGAAACATGAAAAAAATATACCTCCCCCCAAAAAAAAAAAACCCCCAAAAAAGCCACTAAAAAAAGCCCTTTCTGCAGGCAAGAGCTGCATCCCAGGCTTCCCGGCTGCTGCCAGGGAAATGGCCAACCGCGTCGG